ACTCCGCACTCTGCGTCGCTGCCGGCAACAAAAAGTATGTGGACCTCAAGGTTGGCTTTCCCGCTATCCCCGATCACTCTCTAATATGTTGTCGGTGGCTGGATGCAACAGGCTGACTTTCGCAGCCTAAAGCAGCGGCCCGACTTCCAGGCAAAGTTTGGCACAGGACCAACGGAGCCAGAAGAATCGCCGGCTGTTTCAGAATGGAAGGCGGCCCGTGAGCAGAGGCGCAAAGCTGCCCAAGACCAGGGCGGCGGCAGCGTGGGCGGCGGAGGCACTTGATGACGTCAGCAGCTGCGCAGTGGCGGTTGCCCTTGTGCGTTTCGTATGCCATGTCCTTTGACGGGCAGGATCCCCCGCCCCTTGCCGCCCTCCCTCGACTTAGCAGTTGACCTTGCTGCTCCTTTAGGTAGAGCTGCTGCGACGCACAACGCTGCTTCAGGAGCGACCCGAAGCTCTGTTGATCGCCATCATGTAAACCGAATGCATTGCGTTTGTGGACTCTGTTGTGGATATGGGCGCTTAAAACTGAGCAATTCTGCAGCAAAGGCATGAAGGAATAGCTACAGGACACCGTCGAACGATCTAAATTGGTGCGTCCTGCACAAATAGATGAAATTGGGGTGTTAAACATGCAGGTCCCATTCTCAGAAGCTTCATCCGCCGCTTATGCTTATGCTTTCACTGCCGCTCAGGCTGGCGCAGCTGACGCCGTCGCTGCCGCTGCTACTGCTGCCGCTGCTGCCGCTGCTGCCGCTGCTGCCGCTGCTGCCGCTGCTGCCGCTGCTGCTCATCATGTCACCACCACTGCTCGGCGGCGCCACCCACCCCTTCCAGGCCTGCTGCGGCTCCCTCAACGCAGCGGCTGGCCGCTCGTCAGCGCCAAGGGCCGGGGGCTGCAGCCTATCTGGCTCCAAATAGCCGCGGGCTATGAGCGTCTCGATCATGATGGCTGGCTCTTTCTGTCGCCATGGGTTGGGAGGGGCCGGGGCGGGAGGGGGCAGGCGGGCGAAGTACTGTGAAAACCAGCGGTCCATGGTGGGGTTGGCAATGCAGGACAGACCAGCAGCTCAATGGAAAGCCGGGCACCGCACGGTTTGCAGCAGGGGAAGGCAGGCAACCTTGAGTGCAACCACTGGCGACGACCCGAGGTGTGCCCGGCGAGCTGCGGGACGCGGTGCTGCACTTCAGTGCGGCGCACTCTCGCAGCCTCTGGCTGGCGCCGTCGGTGTGAGGCGGCCAAGCTGAAGTCCCCGCCTCCCTCAATATCAGGAGCTGACCCCAGCCATCATGATCGCTCAGCAACGGCAGGTATTGCAACCAGGGGCCACCCACCACGCCCCTGATGAGGTACTCAGCCAGCAGCGCCTCCCTCTCACGCTCCCCCAGGTCGCCCTGCCGCCCCAGCCGCCGCGTCCGCTGCTGCTGAGCCTCCCACTGCGCGCATGTTTGTAATGCGATGGCATGATCGTGCGTGGGTTTTGCGGTCTGCCCAGGAAAGCAGCAGAGCCACAGTAACCACCCAGACGACTGGGGCACGGGCAGTCGAAACCCCCTCCCAGCGCAAGTCATGAGCGTGCTTGGAACACCCACAAGCACGGCGCAGGCCGTGCCGCACCATGATGAGGGCCGCCGCCACGCTGACATTGAAGCTCTCCACAAAGCCTTGAGATCGAGGGCGGAGGGTGCAGAGCGCGTCGCTGATTCGAGCAGCCGCGCGTGTGCGGGCGTGCCAGGCTCCAGCCCAGCAGCCGGCCTTGGCTGTCCTTTCAGGCCTCGCCCAATGGAGGTTCAGCAACCCGGGCTGTACACAATCACAGCGGCCATTCCCGCGCCTTACCGCGGCATCACGCAGCCCCTGATCCGCCATGTCTACTGCCTCTTGTCCGCGTTCTTGTCATGCGGCTGACACGCCCAGCTGTATTTCGTACGACTTCCGCCGATGCTGCCCCACTGCCGCACCCGATCCGCGCTGTCACCTGTCATGGGGATGGACACCACCGCGTCTGACAGGTCGATCGCCGCCTGGGTGACGCCCTCCCGCTCGTTCCCCACCACAAACGCGGTCGGCCGCGTCCAGTCCACCTCCTGCATGCGGTCGCGTTTTGGTCACGATGGGAAGCACGCGTGCACATGGTTGGCTTTTGGGTGGGTGGGGGGCGCAGGAGCTGCAAAATGTGATGGGGGCGCAGGCGCTGCCCTTGCCACGGCCAGCCTGGACGTCCCAACGCTCGACCCGTCGCGGTTACCATGCCGCTGTTGTTTGCGACTGGCTCATCGCTTCCAGGCCTGCACGCCTAGGCATGGGCACGTGCCCGGCGGCGCGCTCAACCCAACCTTGCGGCCGAGGGCACCGACCCTATGTCCAGTGAGCGTGTACGCTTTCGGCGCCCCGCGTCTGAAAGGCCCAGGGCCGACGGCGACTGCCGGCCTGTGAAGCCCAGCGCATCCGCGCTCCCGCCGCACCCCTAAGCCCTGGCCCTTGACGCGCGCTCGAGCGCCTCCCTCTGCCTGCTCACGCCCGTCGTGTGTGCCTCATACGCCGGACACGCAACACGCACACGCACACGCACACGCACACGCACACCCTCGCCACCACCGCCACCCCACACAACCACTCCCACACACACCACCCCCACACAACCACTCCCAAACACACATACACCCATCCTCCCACCCACACACTGCCTCCCCTCCCTCCTCTCCCTCTTTCTCACACACACACACACAGGCACACACACAGACTCATGCACACAAACGCGCGCTCATGCACCTGGATGGGTATCGACTTCGCATTCAGATAAGTGGTGACCACCTGGTACCCCGCCTTCTTCAGCCCCCTCAGGCAGTCCGCGGTGGAAGTCCAGACCTTCACGTCCAGCCACTTTTCAGACCCGGCGGTGGTGCGCTGCGAGTGCTTGTACCTGGTACCGTTCACGACGCAGTGCATGGCGCCCAGGCCAAGGGCTGGGGAAGGCAGGGGGGCGGGGAGGGGATTGGGCGCTGGGGCCGGTGAGAAGCAGCACTCTTGCCCAGTGTCGCACTCGGCAGCTGTTGGGGCATCCGCGCCTGAGACGCTTTCATCCCTGTTCTAGTCCAAAGCGGCTCCCAGAGCCGCCGTTGCGCAGCTGCAGACTGCACTTGTCGGCCGCAGGCGGCACGCGCGTGCGGACGCATAAGGCACAGCACCCCCGGCTGGCTGGCACAAGGAAAGAGCCCTGCGGCGCCTCTCAGCGCGCACGGCCGGAGACCGCTAGTAGCCAGGCCCGCATTGCCCGGAAGCGCCGCACCGTCTGCTGAGCGGCAGACCGCGGACATGTTGCCGACGTCGTGCAGCGCCTCCAGGACGGGGATGACGTCATAGCAGCGGTCCCTGGCCACCTGCTGCAGCCGCGCCAGGCGCTCCGGAGACACCTGCGGTGGCGGCGGGCGGAGTTTCTATCTCCGGCTGCTTTAACAGCTGGCGCTTGCGACCGAGAGCAGCGTTTGCCCGCAGCTGCTGTGCTTTCGAGGGCGACTGGCAGCCTGGTCTGCGCTTGGACGGGTGTGACCGCTATACAGGACCCCACCCACTGCTCAAACATCCTGCCCGCTGCGCTGCCTCTCTGCAACAGCCATAACACACAGCCTGCCCCCCCAAATCCCCAAAGGCCGCCTCCACCCGCCTGTCCAGACAGCAGCCTGATGATTTCTTCCGCAGTCAGCACTCGGCCGCCAGGCCCTGGGAACGAACCCGTGTGCGGAAAGACGAGGCGTGCGTGCCGCATGCCCTCGTGGGGCGTGGCTGCCTGCAAGGGTGGCCGGCGCGCGCGGCAGAGCACATGCGGCAATACGAAATGGGTGCCTTGTCTCTCCAAGGGCGAGGTTGGGCGACCGCTGGCATAGCAGCGCGTACGGGCATCATGGAGGGGTGCGCTATGTGGAGTATATTACTTGGACCCCTCTTGCGCAAATTTAACGGACTTTGCTGCAAAGGGCGCCACTCACCTGGTCCAAATCGGCAGGCGGCGGCGCCGCAGTCGCACGCTGCGCCGCGGCAGCCATTGACGGCACCTCCCGGACTGTGAGCCAGCTCGGCGCTGCCAGGTTGTGCCGAGAGCGCCATGCCGTAAAAGTTGCATGCTTCATCGCGGGCCATCGAAGCTTTGCCGCTGATGAGGCTGACGAGGTGCCTGCGGCCAGCATTTCTTGCTGCGCAGCAAATGCGAGGTGACAACAGCGTATATTATATATTCTTATCGCCATGCGGTGACTCTTTGGCCCTGCATTGAATACCATTCTCGGTTGACTGCACACCGGCGTCACCTGTGGTCTGTGCAAGTGTGAAAGTGGGTTTGATTGCACCCCTTGGTGGTGTGGCTTTGACGAGCAGCTTGATAAGTGCAACACATCGCTTGTTGACCCCATCGCACACTTCATGGGCAGTAGCTGCCACGCCCCGCAGAGCACCCGGCACACCAATCCACCTCACATACGCCCGCTCAGCTTTGACCCGTGCACGTGCTGCCGCAGCGGGGATCCTGCAGCCCCACTTTTCCTGTCTTGCTCTGGATTGCAACAATCAGACAGAGAGATTCCAAAAGGTGCAGCGAGGGATGCCATGATTTTCCAATCGACAATCGCCAAGAATGCAGGACAGTGTTCGAAAGGGTTGCAAGTGAGTGATGCCACAAAGGAAACTCAGTACTGCTCCTTGAGCTGTACAACAAGTTGCATCGCCTTTGAAAGACGCCAGAATGAGCTGCGTCCATCTGTGCACCTGAAACCTGGCCCAGCTGTCAAGCAAAGACGCGTTGCGGATCATGACAGAGGCACAGCTGCTGTGCAACCGTTGCAGGCAGCTCAACTGCGGTAAAACCGCCTGATTGCCAACTGTGACAAAGGGCCCATGTGCAAATTTAGCCTCGTCTTTTGCTGGATCACTTACTTTGAGCCTCTTCTTTGTGCCCACTGATCCTGGAAATTAGTCGATGTGTCCTGCACTGCACTGTAATTTCCACCATGCAAGCCCAGGCAACAAGCCGCAGCAGATATCTCTGGCGTGACCTTGAATCTTGCAGCCATCGAAAGAAGCGTTACGACACACAGTGGTCAAGCGGATATGTGGCTATACCGCCTCAGTGGCTTGACACTGGGTGGCCAGGCACTGCTGAACATCTGCACTTCGCAGGCAGGCCGCACACGTACGCATTGTATTGGCATGCCCTACATGGTGTACAGCGCGCCATGCACACCCACGCAACCCCTACCTTCTCTGCCTGTGGAACCACAGAGTTCTACTCAAGGATTCCAATCATACCCGCCAAACGACACACATTGCATTCAATCGAAATCAAAGTCCTCCTCCATGGCCTCGTGCTGCTCCTGCACGGTCCCGCCCATGCCCATGCCTGTTCCCACCCCAAGCGCTGCAGCCGCCGCGGCTGCGGCTGCCCGCTGCGCTGCCTCGACTGCGCGCTCTGCGCCCTTGAACGCCGCCGCCACCCCCTCCAAATCGGCCCGCAGCTGGGCCAGCCTGCTGTGCGGCCCCTGCTCCCCCTGCGCCATTGCATCGGCAGGCATGAGCACCGCAAGGGCCTGCGCGGGCGCCTTGGCTTCTAGCTCTTGCAGCATGCCCGCCAGGTGCTGCATCACCAAGGCCCCCCAGGCGCCCGCGAGCCTCAGGCGTTGCAATAGCTCTGCGCGCCGGCCTGGGGCGATCTGGGAACCGTCGGGGACACCGCCGCTGCTTACTGCACCCACGCCGCCCGTGCCGCTGGCGCCGGCCGCGCCGCCCTCGCCGCCCGCACCCGCGCCGCCCGCGCCGGCCCTGCTGCCCGCGCCGTTTTTCTCATCTCGCTCCGCCTCCCTGGCGGCGCGCCACTCGTCAACCTCCTCATCCTCTGCCTCAGGGTCGCCGCCCCTCAGCCTGATCCTCAGGTCAATAAGCTCACCCGATCGAGGCGCCGGCTCGACAGCAGTCGCGGCGCGGGACATCTCATTGGCATAAAGGAGCAGCGCGCGCGTCGGGCGCATGAGGGCCCGCGCGGCGTCCCCCGCGCTGCTGCCGCGCAGCAGGCCTGTCGCTGGTGTCTCGAGGAATCTGAAAACAACACCAAACATCGGCTCCACTGCAGGGATAGGCATGCGCAGGAATGTGCAAGCACGGTGAGCCACAGGAAATTTTCCTGGAGGTTACTTGCGAGTTTGAGTACAGACAGCTGGACGTGCCACAATTGCGACCAGCAGAGGTAGATGGACCAGTGCAAACAGCATGTTGCTGTGCGGCGGCTCACCGTGCTCGGCGGCCCCTAGCCGTATCAGGGCCCCAAGTCCAGGGATGTCTTCCAGGATGTACGTGAGCGTTCTTATTGAATGCTGGGCGCTTTGCAGGCCCAGCGTGACGCCCTCACGGAGCACTTGCAGGCACTGGCAGGAGGCAGCGTCGTCGTCAGCCGGCGGCCGTGCCCCGTGCATGGACAGCGTACTGCTGGCATCGTTCGCACGTGAAAGCGCGTAGAAGGTTCTCTCATAGTCAATCGGCTGCTGGGGCCGCATCTTGTTGTGGGAACCAGTCGGAATGATCTCGACAAGCCCTCGACACGGTACCTGTAGCTTGAGAAGGCAGTCGCCAAATTTCATATCAATTGGATGTATCTCTTACTTCCACGAAGACATGAGCCTGCATTAAACCCCGTAGAGGCCGTACGGTTCTGTGCAGCCCCTGTCAGCCTCGGGCGCTCAGTTCAGTTGATCTGTGGATTACAGGTGGTTAGGAAACTTGGGTGATCAATCACCTAACACCTGCTTGGCCAAGATAAAGTCAGTTAGCCCCAGAAAATGTCATACTGGTCACAAAGCATGCAGGCATTCAGCTCAGACATTGACACAAGCTCCTGCAACGGCCATAACAAGGGAGGAACGATACACCTTGCTGCCAGCATAATTTCCTAACAGACAGAAACCTCACGCATGTCATCATACGACCTGACACACATCTGATGTTGCCACTGATGCCGCACCTGCCCCTGCCTCCACCTGATCTGCTACCGTTGACGCGTCTGCAGCTGCCGTTCACTGCGTCCCGTCAGGCGGCACGACTGTCACCCCTAGCGCCGCCGCCGGCGCCACCGCCGGCGCTGCCGCCAGCTGCCTCTCAGCATCCGCAAGTGCGGCTCGCAGGCGCTTGCATGCGGCAGACATGCTGCACCGCTTAAGCCTCTCAGCTTCCAAGCACATGTATGCCACAGATGACAGCGCAAGGAAGGCCGCGTGCGCCGCGGCCCGCGCACTAGGGTTGGTGGGGCTCCAGGCGCGGTCGCACTTGAACAGGGCGCCACCTGGGGTGCTGCTACTGGCCGCAATTGCCTGCCGCCACACCTGCACCAGCTCCTGTCGCTTCCCAGGGTCGGCGAGGCTGGCAGGCTCGGACACGGCGGCCACGGGGAACGGCCCGCCAGCGGCCGCAGCCGCTGCAGCGGCCCCGGACTGCGCGCTACCGCCGCCGCCGCCACCGCCACTGCCGCTGCTACCACCACCGCCGCCGCCGCCGCCGCCGCCGGCCTCCTTGGCACCCACGTCTGGACCAGCAGCCCCACCCGCCGCAGCAGCCAGCAGCTGCGCTGGATCCGCCGCCGCCTGCCCTTGCCCGTGCCCAGCCGGGGCTGCTGCGGCCGGCGCGTTGCCCAGCACTGCTGCGGCCTGGACGGCTGGCATCGTTGCGGGCAGGCCTGTCATCAGCCGCAGGATAATCACGCCAACGGCATACACATCCGCCTTGACGTGCACGCTGCTGTCAGATGCGTACGCTGCGCAAACATTGATGGTGGCGGCGACTTTAATGAGCCACACGTGCAAAGGACATGCGCAAATGGAACTACGCTTTGTACGCCGCAACAACCCAGCCTTGGTGGGACCGCCTCACCAGGACGCGTTGCTCACCAGCAGCCGCTTTGCCGACGAGCAGCAAGGCGCGCCTTGCGCCTCCGTCACCCCCCCCCCAAAAACAAAACCACCTTGGGCTGGCTGGATGGTGAAATCGTAAAGTGGCCATTACAAGCATCAAACAATCGCCCCCAGCGCCCCCCTCTGAAATGCCGCTCACTGGGGCACATGTAGCCGTACGTCCCCATGAGGTGGTTGGTGCGGTAGCTGCTGGCATCAACCTGGCGGTTGGGCGCGTTCTGGATGTCCCTCGAGCAGCCAAAGTCAATCAGGGTGACCTTGGGCTGCGGCTGCAGCTGCACCATCACGTTCCCTGAAGATGCCAAGGGAGTGTGCAGGTCGGCTTGTGTGCCCTTGCTTGTGTGGATCGGCTCTTACGCGCACACACGCGCATGTGTGTGTGCATGTGCATGTGTGTGTGTGTGTGTGCACGCGCGCGCGTGCGCGCGCGCATGCGTTCGTGCGTGCAATACAAGGGAGTGACAATGAATGACACTGCGACATGGCCTATTACACGAGACAATACCCCACAAGAGGCATTCACCAGATGAGTCCTAAGAAACTCAGGTAAAGATAACTGACCTGCTGCAATGTCCATGTGGGCAACGCCCTGGGCGTGCAGCTCCTCCAGCGCCTCAGCCAGCAGCAGCGCCACCCTCACGCGCCCCAGCCATGGGAACGCCCGCGCCGCCGCCAGCGCTGCGGCCTTCCACTCCGCCGCCTCCTCGGGCGCCGCGCCCGCCGGCGGCCGCGGCGGCGGGGCGCAGCGGCCCAGCAGCTCGCCCAGCGACTCACCGGGCGCGCGCGGGAACAGCAGCGCGCAGCGCTCCGGACAGATCGCGACCAGCTGCTCAAACGAGTCGCTATAAGGCAGGTCCGCCAGCACGCGCACGAGGCGCACGCACGCATCCCAAGGGTCTACGTCCCTGGCACTGCCCGGCGGTGCGGCCTTCAGGGCCTGCGGGTTCTGCATTTGCAGAGGGGACAAGACCCAGGGGACCACTGGAATGGGGACCTTGATGACTACTGCTTCGCCCAGGACCGGGCCGGCTGGCAAATAAACCCGCATCTGCCCGCCGTCCACCACACCGCCGCCGGGTGTGGACGCAGACGCTAGGGCCTCGTCGACGTCGGCTGGGTGGGCGCGCTGGAGCATGCCACCGCGCCGGCCGCGGGCGAAGCTGCCGGTCAGCGTGCCTGCCGGCGGGTGAGGTATCAATCGTCAGCGCTGCCAACACAGCCGCAACGCTTGGTTGTGCAAACATGCTCATGCGACCTCAATGTGCGTGTGCGCACGCTCTGGAAGGCTTGCAACCGTGCACAGTCAAGCATGTGCGCATGCTCAATGTTAGCCCCACCTCGCACAGGTGGCGGAAGGCGGATGTCCATGTCGGCGAGGCGCGGCTCCAGCATCTCCCGAAACTTGTGCAACACGGCGTGCACGAAGTCTTGCTCTTGCTGCTGCTGCTGCTGCTGCCGCTGCTGCTGCTGCTGCTGCTCCTGCTGCTGCTGCTGCTGCTGCTGCTCCTGCTGCTCCTCTTGCTGGCGGCTGGGCGCTGGCGACGGCGACGCGGGCGCAGGCCGGGGTGGCGTCGGCGACCGTGGCGCTGGCGTCGGCTGCTTGGGGCCGAGGAGCTGCGCTCTCTCCATACGGTGCGAAACTCCAACAGCTGCCCGCACCCCCAGCGCATGTGTGTGCGCTTCCATGTCTCGCTGCTGCCCCTGCGTCGCCCCTTGATCTGCAGGGTGCTTGTGTTTCTTAGGTCCTGGCTCCTGCTCCTGCTCCTGCTCCTGCTCCTGCTCCTGCTCCTGCTCCTGCTCCTGCACCTGCTCCCGCTCCCGCTCCCGCTCCCGCTCCCGCTCCCGCTCCCGCTCCCGCTCCCGCTCCCGCTCCCGCTCCTGCTCCTGCTCCTGCTCCGGCTGCTCCTGCTGCTTCTGCTGCTCGTGCTCCTGCTGCTGCTGCTGCTGCTGCTGCTGCTGCTGCTGCTGCTCGTTGCCCCCCAGATGCACCCTGCTCTTTTCCAGAATGCTGCGACTGAAGCCGCGTTTGCGCTTTTTGAGGGCACTGTCTTGCTGCAAAGTTGCCAGTGGGTCGTGGAAGCAAATGGGGTCAGCAGATGCGCTCAAAGGCTATGCGCTCAAAGACTGTGCGCTGCGTTATGCACAAGGGCATGCATGGATGATGAAGCACCGCTGTTGCGTCTATACAAGACACGCAGTCGCTGCCCCAGCAATTCCGCGAACGCACTGTGTCTCGTTGCCAGAACGTCGTGCTGTACGGCTTACCTGTGGCGATGCTAGCTCCTCTGCAGCTGCCTGCTCGTCTGCCGGCACTTCCTGCTCTCCCTCGCCGACACCCAGCGCTGCCTGCAGCGCAGACTGCAGCTCATCTGGCCGCTTTGCCCAGTCTGCCGACACCCGAAGCCGCATGAACACCTCCACATGCTTGCTGCCCGCGCTCACCGCCTGCGTGCACCAAGGCAAGCCGATGTCTGCATTAGTGTCGGCATATTCTTGCACTTTCGTTGCAGCAAGCGTCCATACTGTAGAGGGCGCTTCGTGATCGACCTGCTGGACCTGTACTAGTGCCGAGTCCACTCTACCAGTCGCCCTGCTGCTCACCGGCCCACAGAAGGACTCCGGTAGTCCAAGCCGCACCGCAGCGCCGAGCGCTCCTCGGCACTGCACGTCCAGCTCAGCGCCGCCAAACACTGCCTTCAGGCCCCGGCCAACACCATTGGGGCCGATCTTGCTGGGCAGCTCCAGGGTGCTGAAGTCACCGCCGCAAGCAAGCTGCAGCACTGTAAGGGGTGCCACCCGCAGGACGCCCTCTGCGGCGTTGTAGTGGAAGAGCGGTTTGACGGCTGCGCCGGGCTCTGGCGCGACGCCCGTCGACAGGAACTCCGACAGAGTCTCTATATTAGAGCGTTGTGCGATCCACGGCTGAAGCAGATCTCTGAGCTTGCACTCCACAGTGCGCGTCACGTTCTTCAGGCGCCGCTGCGGCGCGCTGATCGTAGACGTTCCTCCTGCTGCTGCCTCCAGTGCACCCGCAGATTCCATCATGGTCGAAATACGCTGAATCAAGACTCTACATGCGCTCAGGATTGGCGCGAGGGCTGGACGCAAGGAACCAGAGCATGGGCAAGGTGATCAGGTGTGCGTCTTATAATCAAAGGCATGCATATAAACACCGACCATCTTCTTTGTAAAGTCAGGAACATGCGGCATTCAGATCACTTAAAACGGTCAAACTTGAGATGATGAGACTGCTGCCACGTTTACGTACATACTACAGGGGCAGAGGGACGTGTAGAATGATGACCATTGAACGATAAACTGACATCCTCAACACATCCAAGGCTCAGGGCCTTGTTCAGGCCTGCGGCGTGCAAACCCTTGCTTAATGACATTGCTCTTTGCCCTGCACTGCCTGCCCTTGGGCTGCCAGCAGCGCAGCTGGCGCCGCCGTAGCCCTGAGAAGCCAGAAGAGGAAGGGGAACTTGAGAGCTTTATTGAACCAAACACAGGACCACTCCTGCCAGGCGATAAGACGAGCGATCAACCCGCCGCCCCCAGTCAGACCCAACCAAGAATGGAGGAATAGGGCACCCAACAGAAGCGTCCACGGCATACACAACCAAAATTAGCAAGGAGGCAACCACCGCACGACCCAAGCTTAACACTCAAACAAGGCGGGCGGCAGGGCCGTAAGGGCAGCCAGCAGAAGAGGTCAATATGAGGCACAAACACGACGCGCCCGTTCCGACGCCGCCGAGCGCGCCACCGCACGTCGCCAGCACCGCACCGCTGCCATCAGCCGCTCCATCGGGCCGCCCACAGCATGCGGCGGGGCGTCTACGCATCCTGCTTGCCCGTGCTGTAGACGTTCTCGAGCACGGCGCCAGACTTCCGCATGCCGAGTGAGCAAACACAGCGCCGCTTTTATCGCAGCGACACCTCTGCAAATACCGTGTGAGTAGGGCCCCGTCCCCCCCTTCAGCCGCGCCAAGTGGGAGCTGGATAGCGAAGCGTCAGGCACCCTAGCGCGCGCAAGAGCTTGCGCAGAAGGTGCGTCACCGTGGACGCCGAAAGACGGTCAACAACGTGCTGCTGGCCAATTATATGGCGCTTGGTTCTGCTCTGTTGGTGATGTTGTTCACGCAGTTCCGGGTCCCGCTGGTCATTCGCTATGTCTTGATGCTTCCCACCCGCCAGCAGGGCAGGGATGTGGTTGCCCGCGCCCATGGCAATGGTTTTGCCTTCAGCCCCCCTGTTGCAAGAGGTGCCCTGCCCCGTCTCCTTCAACACATTCCCATCACTGTAGACTAAGGAGTCAGCGTCATACGCCAGAAGCTGGGGCTGGTTGAGGGCTTTCTCCAGGGCATGGGTGTCCCCCTCTCCCAGGTGCGTGGGGCGCGGTTTTCCCCTCCTTGTCACGCGCGTTGAGGGCCCCGGACTGTTGGGCTCCGCCCAGCTGCTCGCCTGCCTGGCAGCTGGGCGGATGCATTGCCTGGTGTTTGGCCCTGCGCTTGTGCCAGCAGCGTTGCTGCCGGCTCCCTCATTGGCTCTGTGGTACCCAAAGGCGGCCCAGCCCCGCCAGGCTGGGCCCAGGCCGCTGTAAGCTCCCACATCCCGAGGTCACCTATGGCAGCTGGTGCCCGCTTGCCCGGCGGGTGCCAGCAGCAGAGGGCCCTTCGCACATGCTTAGAGATGGATGGACACAGCAGCACTGGCAGCTTCGGGCAGAGGCAGCAAGCTTGGGCGGCGGAGCAAGAGCAGCACAGGCTCGGCCCCAGCGGGCCTCACTCTGAGATGTGGCACGCATGCACCAGCTACGCCGTGACAGCTGTGACCAGTCCGGGCGCCCGATGCCCAGGCGCGACACCCTTGTGCTCTCCGGCCTCATCTATACCATGCCCGATCCTGGCATGGTGGGCTGCCCCACCTGCAATCCACCCTCGACTACGTTGGTGCTTTACTGTACAATCCCATGAGCCTGGATGGCTCCAGGAGCGGGCGACCGCGGGACGCTGTAACAATCCTAATCCTAATCCTGCAATCGACGGATCTATCACCTGCGATTGCCCCTCACCTGCAATAACCCCTCGCATGCAATCGACGGATCCATCACCTGCGGTTGCCTCTCACCTGCAATAACCCCTCGCCTGGGATTGCAGCGTCACCTGCAATTGATCCACACCTGCAATCACCCCTCGCCTGCAATTGCAGCGTCACCTGCGATTGCCCCTCACCTGCAATCACCCGTCGCCTGGGCTTGCTCCGTCACCTGCGATTGACCCACACCTGCAATAACCCCTCGCCTGGGATTGCGCTGTCACCTGCGATTCACCCTCGCCTGCAATAACTCCTCACCAGGGATTGCTCTGTCACCTGCGATTGCCCCTCACCTGCAATCACCCCTTGCCTGGGATTGCGCTGTCACCTGCGATTGACCGTCACCTGCAAAAACCCATCGCCTGGGCTTGCAGCGTCACCTGCGATTTATTACCCTTGCCTGCAAAAACCCCTCACCTGGGATTGCTCTGTCACCTGCGATTGCCCCTCACCTGCAATCACCCCTCGCCTGGGATTGCGCTGTCACCTGCGATTGGCCGTCACCTGCAATAACTCCTCGCCTGGGATTGCAGCGTCACCTGCGATTCACCCTCGCCTGCAATAACTCCTCACCTGGGATTGCTCTGTCACCTGCAATTGCCCCTCACCTGCAATCACCCCTCGCCTGGGATTGCGCTGTCACCTGCGATTGGCCGTCACCTGCAAAAACCCATCGCCTGGGCTTGCAGCGTCACCTGCGATTCACCCTCACCTGCAATCACCCCTCGCCTGCAATTGCAGCGTCACCTGCAATTGCCCCTCACCTGCAATCACCCCTTGCCTGCGACTGCAGCGTCACCTGCAATTGATCCACAGCTGCAATAACCCCTCACCTGGGATTGCAACGTCACCTGCGATTCACCCTCGCCTGCAATAACCCCTCACCTGGGATTGCAGCGTCACCTGCGATTCACCCTCGCCTGCAATGTAAGGCAGCGCTTGTGCGCGTCTGTGATTTAGTAATGATCAGTCAGCTTATTTTGGTATATTATGTGTGTTCAGGATAC